CCCAGTTTAAGCTTTGGATGTTCGCTGTTAGACATCTCACTTCCGTAAAAACATCTAAATGTGAAGGCTGTAACACTTTTATAACAAAGGACATAGGCGTGTGATCATGTGAAAGCGTTTCGAAAGAAAGTAGAGTTTCCCTATTCCCGGTAGTACTACAGGTGAGGTGGTTACTTTGTCACAAAAAACCGAAGTTATGGTTAGATTTTATCGAATAATTTCGGTTAACGGATGAAGGAACATAATATCTGCTGGCCAGCAAACGATATTACTATTAGAAAAAAGACTGTGGCTGTCTGTAAGGAAAAAACTAAGATATTTAGATGCATTAAAGCCAATATAGAGTACTACATAAATTTAGTTTTACCCACAGAATTGCAAGAGTAATAACTAAGAAAGTTTTTGGAAAAACACCGCGAATTACAGTGACTAAAATTTTGATCAGTAAGGCCCCGATTCCGAAAAGACATTTCACTAGCTTGTTATGTTTTCTTACGACAATAACACATAACTCACTCCTGTTAACATAAAAGACAGGATGCACATATCAAATCTCCAAATCTTTAATCAGAACACTAGAAAGCAGATGAGCGATTACATGTACTTTTATTATTTTGATCTATAACGGATCATATGGATACAAAACGAGATGACATTCAATTACAATATGCACACAGCCATAATATTTTACTACAAACCTATGTAATGCATTTACAGTTTATTAAGCGTAGATTTATGAAAGTAAAGATACATCGATAATTAGCCAGTTGAAACGTCTATTTGTAGGATCATATGGAAATACAATAAATCAACTATTTGAATGATACTTCTCGAGGTTTAAAACTCCGCCTGTAGCTCTTCTAGAGTTACTGCCGGTCCCAAGCCCGGGTAAAGGAGGAGGGTTGGGCATGGGGTTAGCGTCCCCATCCCGTAGAAAACTAACTCGCTAAAAAAACGCTTACCAGAAAAAATAATTCAAACCATTTTAACTCTCCCCTGGGAGTTAGAAGGTCTTCATTTAGAAGAATTATGACGCTTCATGGTGAAAGCCGAGTTCCTTCGGAAGCCACGAGGCCGATGCCCCTTCTGACAACCAGAGCGACCATTTGTTTAGGTACATGGAATGTTCGTACAATGTGGGACACCGGGAGAGTTTTCCAAATTGCTGCAGAAATGAGAAGATACAACCTAGAGGTACTTGGGATCAGTGAAACACATTGGACACAAGTTGGACAACAACGACTAACTACAGGAGAGCTCCTGTTATACTCCGGCCATGAAGAAGAAAATGCACCACATACACAAGGAGTTGCATTGATGCTGTCCAAACAAGCGCAAAATGCGCTTATAGGATGGGAATCTCATGGACTAAGGATCATCAAAGCCTCGTTCAAAACAAAGAAAGAGGGTATTTCAATGAACATCATCCAATGCTATGCGCCTACCAACGACTACAATGAAGACGCTAAAGATCAATTCTACAATAGGTTGCAGTCAATCGTCGAGAAGTGCCCAACAAAGGACCTGACCATTCTGATGGGAGATTTCAATGACGAGGTTGGAACAGACAATACTGGATATGAAGACATCATGGGATGACACGGACTGGGAGAAAGGAACGAAAATGGTGAGAGATTTGCAAACCTATGTGCCTTCAATAAACTAGTCATAGGCGGCACCATATTCCCACATAAACGCATACACAAAACCACATGGACTTCACCGGATCACTCTACACAAAACCAAATCGACCATATTTGCGTCAACAAAACGTTCAGGAGGACTATAGAGGACGTGAGAACCAAGAGAGGAGCTGATACAGCATTAGATCATCACTTGCTGGTCGCCAAGATGAAATTGAAACTCAAGAAGCACTGGACAACGGGGCGGACAAAAGTTCAATACGCCAAAGTCGGGATAGACAACAATGGATATGATGATATCATGGGGCGACATGGACTGGGGGAAAGAAACGAAAATGGAGAACGATTTGCAAATCTATGTGCATTCAACAAATTGGTCAATGGAGGCACAATATTTCCACACAAGCGTATACACAAGGCTACATGGATCTCACCGGACCACACTACAGAGAACCAAATAGATCATATTTGCATCAACAAAAAATTCCGAAGGACAATGGAAGATGTGAGAACCAGGAGAGGTGCTGACATAGCTTCAGATTACCACCTAGTTGTAGCCAATTTAAAACTGAAGCTGAAAAAGAACTGGACAACTGGACAAACAGCACTACAAAGGTTCAATACAGCCTTCCTTCGAGATATTGACAAACTCAATGAATTCAAGATAGCTCTCAACAACAGGTTCCAAGCCTTACAAGATCTACTGAAAGAAGAACAAACTACCGTGAAGGACAACTGGAAAGGCATCAAGGAAGCGTTAACTTCAACGTGTCAAGAGGTTCTGGGTCTAAAGAAATACCATCATAAGGAATGGATCTCTATAGAAACACTGGACAAGATCAAAGAAAGGAAGAACAAGAAGGCAGCAGTTAACAACAGCCGAACACGAGCAGAGAAAGTCCAAGCACAAGCTGAATACATGGAAGCAAACAAGCAAGTGAAGACGAGCATTAGAGCCGACAGGGAGAAATACGTGGAAGAATTAGCAACGACGGCAGAAAAAGCTGCTAGAGAAGGAAATATGAAACAACTTGAGGATACAACGAAGAAACTGGCAGGGAAATACAGTAAACCAGAGAGACCGGTCAAAGACAAAGAAGGCAAGCCAATCACTGAAATTCAAGAACAGCGGAACAGATGGGTAGAATACTTCGAGGAACTCCTGAATAGGCCGGTTTCAATGAATCCAGTGGACATCGAAGCAGCACACACAGATCTTCCTATAGATGTCAACCCACCAACGACGGAAGAAATCAGAATGGCCATCAGACAAATCAAGAACAGGAAAGCAGCAGGACCCGACAACATACCAGCAGAAGCACTGAAATCAGACGTCGAAGTAACCACAAGCATGCTTTACCTTCTATCCAAAAAGATTTGGGAGGAGGAACAAGTGCCGATGGACTGGAAAGAAGGACACCTCGTCAAGATTCCAAAGAAAGGAGATCTGAGCAAATGTAGAAACTACAGAGGCGTTACACTACTGTCAATACCAGGGAAAGTCTTTAACAGAGTGTTGCTGAACCGGATGAAGGATGCAGTAGACGCCCAACTTCGAGATCAACAAGCTGGATTCCGTAAGGATCGATCGTGCACAGACCAAATTGCGACACTACGGATCATTGTCGAACAATCAATGGACAGCTCAGAATCAATTAGACGATTTGGACTTCGCAGATGACCTAGCCCTCCTATCGCGTACACACGAACAGATGCAGATGAAGACAACCAATGTAGCGGCAGTCTTTGCATCAGTACGCCTCAGTATACACAAAAGGAAAACCAAGGTCCTCAAATTCAAAGCGGAGAACAGTAATCCAATCACTCTTGATGGCGAAACTCTGGAAGATGTAGAATCCTTCACATACCTGGGAAGCATCATCGATGAACAAGGAGGTTCAGATGCAGACGTAAAGACGAGGATTTGCAAAGCAAGGGTCGCATTCCTACAATTGAAGAACATATGGAACTCAAAACAACTTCTAACCAATATCAAAGTGAGAATCTTCAATACGAACGTCAAGACAGTTCTACTGCATGGAGCTGAAACGTAGAGAACTACAACAACCACAATCAGGAAAGTACAAGTATTTATAAATAGCTGTCTACGCAAGATACTCAACATCCATTGGTCGGATACTATCAGCAATAGCCTTCTGTGGAAGAGAACAAACCAACTTCCAGCTGAAGAAATTAGGAAAAGACGATGGAAATGGATAAGACATACATTACGCAAATCATCAAACTGCATCACGAGGCAAGCCCTGACTTGGAATCCTGAAGGGAAGCGGAAAAGAGGAAGGCCAAAGAACACATTACGTCGGATAATAGAACCAGATGAATTACAACTGGAAGGAGCTGGAAAGGATTGCCCAGGACAGGGTTGGATGGAGAGTGCTGGTGAGCGGCCTATGCTCCTTCACGAGGAGTAACAGGCGTAAGCAAGTAAGTCTCGAGATTTAAGCATATATATCATAAAACAATTATTCAATTATCGTGCTATCCTTTTTTCCTTTTAAAAGTTCGAAATTATCACCATGGTTTATGAAAAAAAACTAGAAGATCTAAACTGTAGAAAAGGCATTATCCATGATAGTTGGGATTTAATTTGACAATTTTACGGATCAAACTGACACAGGCAGACCCGCGAAAACCGACACATCAAAAAGCGTCAATGAAATAGGTTATTTATTTTATTTATTTATTTTAACGCATAGATATTGGTACAAGGAGGCACCAAATACATATGCGCCACACAGATCTCATTTGGTATCTGCGAGGGCTGTGATACTGCTCGGGTGTCCAAACCGAAGCAGGTCTAAAATAGGTCTGTATATTTAGGTTTTTTTTGGGATGGTCTAGGAAAATTATACATTATCTACTTTCACCAGCTAGTCCTAAGTTTAAATCCTTTTTACCCTCCTTTAGCACGAACACCAGTTTCCGCAGTTTAAATAATAAAGGGTCCAAAGATGAGGCTGAAGTGTGTCTAACATCTAAATAAACAATATGACAACTCAAGTATTTTTCATTCCTGATAGTTCTCTTTCATACGGTGTAATAGCGACGAACCATAGTAAATAAGTGACTTAGTGATATATTCATTTGAATTTTATGTAATAGAGCTGGAACTCGATCAACTTGTTTCGATTTGATAGCCAAGATAAACACAAATCCAAGCTAGAAGTCGTTTACAGTTCATCACATCTACCTTACTAGGCAGTGGGGTTTCAAGCAACCAAAAGTTTCATAAGAGGAAAGAACTAGTAATGAGAAGGAATTACAGGAGAATTGTTTGGGAGTTTATGTATATATATATATATATATATATATATATATAACAAGTGAAACGCTTACCGAATAAATGGGATCACCAGGTAGAAGTTGTTCGGTCTTGAATTCAATTTTTCCATAGTAGTAATATCTTGTATATGTGCTGGCAAATCAGCAATCCCAAACCAAGTTATAGCCTCAATCTCGTTTTTTGTACCAGGCTTCAACCGAGAAGTCCTGGGAAGTCCTTCAACAATGAATGCTCGTCTTAAAGTACCACCAATATAACGATCAATATAGAGGGACGGTAAGATACGATTTGCTAAGTCCAGACCCGTTTCTTCCATTACCTATAGAAAAATACCTAAAAATTTATGCCACTTACTTCACGAGAAGCACAATCAACAAGAGATTCATCTTGATTAATTTTGCCACCAGGTAGGCTCCAACGATTGCCATAAAATCCTTGGACTAACAAGATCTAGGAATTAAATCAATAAAAAGCTTTCTTACCATCTTGTAATGTTCGTCAATAATTATCATGCTCCCAGTAGCTGTGGATCCACGGTATTTCTTCCATTCGACAAACTTTTCTTGCCAGTTTATACCCCTGGGGACAATAGAAGGAAACTTCTCAAATACTAAACTATTATGTATTATGAAGCTGAAAAACTACATTGTTGAGTTAGTCCGAACATATCAACACCACCAACTGAAGGATCTTCAATACAATAATCGACATAAAACCAATGAGCCCGCTCAACTTCAAAAAAGATTCTTACGAAATTCTTTGCACAATCTTCTTTCAACTCATCGGGAATATTAAGAAGAAATCGCCTACATGGTCGAAAAGTTGACAGTAAGATGGTACTTACGTGTACAAATGTAATAAGATGTTATCTGGCACAATATGTAAAGGTTCCGGGGCCATCATTGGTTTATATCTAAGGGAGTAATACCAAAAAATGTCAGAATCTTTCAATGATGAAAGTAAATTTAATGTCTACCTTCCATGCACCTAATCATATTGTTCACCCCAACTATTCAGCTGTCCCACAAACGCAAGGTATTAAAGGATGACAAAGTCAAATCATTCAAATTTTTACTATATATTACGATTAGTGAAACATTGACATGAAAAATACGACTTCCCACAAACTTCAACTGCTCTATAGGTAGGGCAAAACAATAATAATAAACAAGCTGTTCACTGGCTTAGGCGGGAAGTTAGTATCACGCAGCATATCACAGCTGCAGTAGATAAGCAGTGGTATGTTGTAATTGTACGGTAGTACAACAAATTTGCGTTAAGCTAATAAATTACTTTTTGAAAAAATGGCGTGTAAAAAACTGAATCTTCAAGCACTCAAGTAATAAGGGAATGATAGATATGATATTTCTATAGTCCTCTTTATAAACCAATAAATTCCTGCTATGATATTAAAATCTATTATTCGGTGAGACTGTAATTTATGGACGAACCAGTCAGATATAAGATAACGAGTCTTGAATTTTGGCGAGAAATTCATTCATACATTTGGTTAAATAGCCTTTCGGCGTCATAGCCGATGTCAGTTCGTGATGAAAACCCTAAATCTAATTCCTAACCCTTTAGGGTCGCTCAAAGGTCGTACATAAATTATAGTCTCACCCAAAAGTTTAGTAGAATAAGGGCAGTTGTTTCAGATTCAGATTCGTGTATTAAGGACAAAAGGCCGGGGGCCTATGTTATTTCTTTTCTAGTATGCTTCTGTGAGTGTCCAGTCTTCTCTTGAAAGAGTCAATTGAAGGTGCGGACACCACTGCTTCAGGCAGCAGGTTCCAAGTACTGATGACTCGGTGTGAAAACCTGCTTGCCACGGGAATTTTGTTCGTTCTTGGCTTTTCTACTCGCCTGCTATGTCCTTTGAGGTGTCCCGATCTAGTGGGAAGAAAAAGACAGAATAAGTTAGGTCCATAATCATTTCTCATTATTCTGTACATTAAAATCAGATCTCCCCTTAGTCTGCGATAGGACAAAGTAAAGAGGACCAGCTTTTCAAGACGCTCTTTGTATGGTAAACCCCAGAGTTCTGGAATTTCACAGGTAGCTGCCCTCTGTACTTTTTCTAGGATATCAGAGTCACCTTTTAAACAGGGGATTGCATCCTGAACGCAGTTTTCAAGCTTAATTCTCACTAAGGTTGTGTATACTGTGATGAACATGGGAGTATCTTAGTGAATGTCCGTTTTAAAGCCCAGAGGTTTCTAAACCCCTCAGCTACGACCTCCCGGCAATGGACCATCGTCTTAAGATCATGACTCACTGTCACCCCTAGATCCTTATGAGACCGGATCACGGGTACTGGCACTTATCCTATGCTGAACCTATTAACCTTTGAATCCCCCAAGTGCATGTAGACACTTTGCCGCGTCGATAGGCATCAGCCACTCTTCAGACCAGTTAATCATATCATTTAAGTTTGCCTGAAGAGCGCATGCGTCTGTGTCTCCAGTTATTACTCACCAGATTTTCACATCGTCAGCGTATGATAACATTGGGGACTGCACTAAAATTAGGAGATCATTTACATACAGTATAAAAAGTAAAGGACCCAGGATGGGACCTTGAGGTACTCCACTAGGCACTGGGCTCCAAATGGAGCACTTGGGATTTATTCTTACTTTCTGTTTAAGACCTACTAGGAAATCCTTAAGCCATTTTAAAAGATGTTCAGCAATACCAAGATTTCCCAACTTCAATAGTAGTCTATTAGTTGGCACCTTGTCAGAAGCCATACTGAAGTCTATGTAGACAACATCCACTGAGTTTCCGTTGTCCAGAGCCTTTATCCCAAATCCCCTTGCTATAAGGAGGTTCTTTGTACAAGATGAGCCCTTTGAACGCTCTTAGTCAAAAATCACCACATAGATTCAAACTAATGTGTTTACTAACAAATAACTTGTCTTGTTAAACACTTAGACACTGTGGAGCAAATGGCTTATGAGTCAGACAGTAGGAAAGTCCCTGTGTGCAACTGGTTTCATTGCAATTGTTGAATCGAGACACAGTGATTCTCGAATTATCTGCCTGTAACAGGTTCGTAAACCAACCTTATCAACCGTACATTGTATTAGCCAGGTAGTATTCAATTTCCCAATCTCCCAAATTCTTAGAACATTGAAGATCTTGAGGGGAACCGTTGAACTAATGTACGAACCAACACATGCCCGCCTCGAGATTTATTGGGCGGATGATTACATATGATTCTCGCATTGTAGTTGATGTAACTAAGAGATAAAAAAACCCCGGAAAATCATCTAGAATCTGCAGAAGCAAAGTAATTGGTCAACCTTGAACTAAGTTTCCGTCAGCGAAAAAAAAATTGATTTTGGAACGCTTTAATATTAAAAGGTAAAACGGTGATAACTAATAAACGAATTACCATGTATGCTGAGAAGTAATGCACGAAATACCAGGACCCCCATCCCGAAATGAAATAGGCGCTGAAACCTGGTCTCAGTTATCAATATACGTATCATCTTTGTGACGAACTTTTACAAACAGACTGATTTATTTGATGATTTCATCCATCCACTTAACTCCTGACATTTTACTAATAGATACGTTTTAACGAAACAATCGTATCGCTTTATAACGAAACACTTCGCCCAGGAAGTAGTTCAAGCTCTCCCAAATATTTCATTGTTACCGACTAGAGTAGAGGCCACTTTGAGGAAACACAGAATCTTCCTTAGAAGTTTTAGGAGTTTTAGGCAGGTATCTTCAGTTCCAACTGTGCTCAAAAACACCTCTCCTTCGCTTCGGAGACCCTTGGAGTATTGTTCCACTGTGGACAGTTTGAAAGTATAGGTCATCATATTTACTAATGTCCTTAACTGATTTAACCCATTCGAATATACACCTTTTAGACGAATTCGTACACACCAAATGATCTCTTCACTCTCGTTTTTTGTTGTTTTCATACGATTCCCGGACTTTGGTAACGTCCAGTGATAGTCTATTCGAGTACAATAATTCTAGTCAGTCGTGTAATTATTTGGTAGTTTGTGTACTCTAAAATCTAAGAACATTTGTCTTTGGGCAGTAGGGTTTTCGCAACTAGCAGCTATCGCATTACCGAGGGTATTGAGGTTCGGGATTAGCACCGTTTGACGACGGCTCAGTATATTAAAGGTTAAGCGTTCGCGCGTGTAGCCTAATTTCGTTTGTTGCATTGCTGAAGAGTCATACGCCCGTGCAAAACCACCGTCCAGTACATCCAGGTTTTTGACAGTGACCTAGCTTTTATCAGTTCTTGATTTCAATGAAATAGGGCTATTATTCTCAATAAACCTCAATCTACTACTCTTTTCTTCACATTTCTTCATACTCTCAAGTCTGTACACTTCATACCGCACTATATTGCTGGTTGAAAGTGGAATTACACTCAACTTCAGTTATGCTTTCGGAATAAATACTGACTCTACACTATTTTTGCTCAGAATTATATTTCCAAGTACAATGTTTCGTTTTTTTTTTATATTGCCCAACTATGCAATGACCACATGCCTGACCTCGTTGCTTTATAGAGGATGATATCATGAAGGCGAGTTTGCATTCTGGAGGTTTTCCCCGACCGTCTTATTGGTCGAATCGATCTAAAAGTAATAGCTATTTAAGAAAAAGAATGCTCAAACAGAATGATGTAATAGAAGGGCCAGTAGCTCCAAGAAAGACTTCAGACGTTAACAGGCTGTTTATATATGATGTTTGTATGAACTAATTATTCCTTTGTACTCGGTGTCCGCCTGATTTTGAATTCCAAATACAATACGTTCGTTTGTGCTCACTTAGCTCTACCTGACGTAAGTTGCTCTATTTCGAGGATTCCTGGTTAGTGCAATAATTCAGGTACTTCGAATCATCACATGGGAATCTCAATGGAACCTGGGATGGAAGAGTTGAATAAACATTCAAATTTCGATGCTTTCAAGGATTATATGGAAGAGTTCAAAATCTAGAGTGTGACTGAGGAAGATGTTGAGGATGTTAATATTTTGACTCATTTCCTTTTATTCATCAAAAAGAAGCCGACAGCTTATTAAACATTTTGGCATTTCAAGATAAACCGAATTCATTTTCCTTCGTGAATTTCAAGAAACTACAACTAAACCATTAAATTTTACAAATTTTGAATGCCGTTAAGGAGGAAAATGTCATAAAATGATTCATCAGGGCATCGAGAATTCCACTAAATTACTAAGTAATCCCAGTCCAATGCGTGCCCAAAGTTATGCGGATAACAATTCATTGAGGAGTTGCGAAGTATGTCACGAAAACAAGCACACGTGTTGCGACAGAAAGAGAAAGATGAAGATCCCTCTACAGCATTTTGTCGGACTGTACTGTCATTTATTTGTTTAGTCTCCCTGTCGTGTATTTTAACCTTTGTTCAGATCTCGTTTAAGCACACCTTTTAATCATCAGTCTTCCTCGTCTGAGCTTTTATTATGTGATTTTGATTAAAGACTTCTCTTTTTTAACCTAATTTTCTATTGCATGTTGCCGGACTGTTGACAGTAAGGTCGTGTTTGACTAAGCTAAGGGTCGTGGCGTGATTCAGTGTATGACTGTGCAACGGGATTAAAATCATCATGTATGATGTTGTTTATAGATTTTGTTTTCTTTCTATTGCAGGGCAAGCAAGAATAAGTGCTTTAGAAAAAGAAGAGCAAGCCCTTCATGCACTAAACTTACAGGACGACTCATAAGACCGTTTTGTAAACTAGCTCTCTTTTCTGTACATAACCCGCGAATTTTAATTTTCAAATAAACGACTGGTGGTCTCCATTCCGTGTTCCCTCTGTGGTGTGAAGTGCTCAGTTAACATTGTGTGTGTTGTGGCTTCAGGTCTTCCCGCCTTCTAGTGACTGCTGATTACACGTGTTACAACTGGTGATGGAGGTGCCGACAGAAAAACGCGATGAGAATCTAGACGAACCGCCTCTGATTCCAATCAGGCCTGCTCCCGGTTCAACCCCAC